AGTTGGTGTTGACTGCTTCCTTCATTTTAATCTGTCACTGCTGAATTAAGATCAGCTGGCACAAATAGCCCTCGAGTAGCTTTATGTGAAATTCAAAACAAATGAAAAACCAGGGTTCATCAGCTGCCTGAGATACGGCCTGCATATACCACTGAAATCTCTGTTATATGTAGTTAAATTGTATTTACAAAAATTACCTTTAATCCGAAACAATTCAGTCGTTATATTCTGTCAATCTCCGATCGTTACATCGACAATCGATTGTAATGCAATAGAGGGCGCGGAATTATTTTGACTTACTTAGGTTTCTTATAAAACTCACGCTATTTGTACCATGAACACTTCGTAATACTGGATAATGAGGAACCAACTTTTTATAAAATAAAAGTTTTGACACGGTGATGTTGACAGGACATTATATATATAGCCTGTAAATACTATTAGCCAATTAGTTAATTTTTTTACCTGTAATGTTTTTACTTTCACTAGTAATAATTAGTAATACTAGTAGTAATATTGACCAATTGTAGGCCAATGCTACATCATGTGAAATCAAATCCAAAGATTAATATATGAACTATGATCAACATTTATGAATTAAATATAATCTACCTAGGTGTCATTAGGCATGTATGTTAATTTTCACAATTACTTGTGAAATAATAATCTTTAATTACTTTAACAAGGTTCCTAGAGTAACATTAAGTCGCTGTTTTATTATTTAATGTGTGCTGTAACAGTATAAGCAATAACTTGAATAGGCCTCGAGACTTGACAGATTATTTGAGTTTGATTCTTTGTTGCCTAGGCTTAAAATATATATTTTAAAACTACTCGTAGTATTTCTTTAACTGTATTTCAGATGTAACGACAAAAAGATAAGCTAGATGTCGCAAAAAATAAGTATGATAAATTTTACTTTATTTTAGTTAATGAGTTTTTTGCAATAATTCTAAAGTAGTAGCTGCTTTGAACATAGGTAATACTAATAGCAACCAAAATACATTTTGTAAATTCTGTGAAAAAACTCTTAAAAGAAATTTAATAGTTGACAATTAAATTTAATCTTTCTTTTATGGAGTAAAGGTGATAAATATTATACATTGAACAGGGAATATAACTAAAATATGCTGGGTTTAAACATTTAAAATGACTGCATGAAATGATGAAAACAGTAAAAAGTGTGATGTTTACTCATCAAAACATAATTTGTTTTGTTTTTTAGTCTGCTCTCATGTAATCAGGTACCAAAATAAATGTTTTTCTGTAAACTTGGTATGCCACTTTATTGTAAATGTAATACCTTTAAAGCCATATAATAATTTCTTGAGAACAAGCTAGGATTTTATGATATATTTGTAGTGTACATGTGCATGTACATAAAAAATATCGATATGCGAATGTTTTAAGTCTATTGCATCATATTGTAAACACTATAAGTACAAAAATGTTTTATTTTTAAAACTGTGTCAAAGTGATTTTTATATCTAAACCTTATTCTGTATTTGACAATCTCATGATTTTATTTTTTATTCCCATTTAGTCTATTACTGACATAGAAATGACAGTTAATATCTTTTTGGAAATGTTTTATCATTCTTCCCCTGTTTTGAAAATATTCTCATATTTTGTATCAATCTCTGATATTACACGTATCGTGAGGTATTTTATTTAATGATATTACACGTATCGTGAAGTATTTTATTTAGTTTGAAGGCTGAAAGAATAACAATAGTGTTCATTTAAATGAATTCAGAAACTTCTACAGTTTTCTAAATTTTTGGTATGGATACTGAAATTGCTTAAGTAACTGTTATAATCTTGAAGCATTAAGATATAATTAAAAAACATAACTTACCATTATGTCATTAAGGGAATTTACAAACAGTTTATAATAATTTGGTGTTTGATTTGTGTGGGATTTAGCATATATATATATATATTTAATATACATTTTTGTTTTAATGAAATACAGTACATGTTTTTATCTTTCCAGAGGTTCTGCATATATATATGTCAGCATTAGAAACGACGGAAGGCCTAAGTGATCAACATTTATGAAGACTTGGTTTCTACATGATGAATACAAGGTTCCTAAAAGTTGTGCGATGGGTTTCTCAAATCAGTCACTCAAATAGCAATATTGTAAAATATTCATTAGTGGGACTAATTATAATATGTATTATTCTACCTCTACGTTGTCCTACTGGCCGTGGATACCATTACGTAACTTTTTCTCATCTTGAAGAGGATATTTACGTGTGTGACATTGGGGGTAAAGAAAGCTCGACTTCTTTGCAGACCTGTCCGTTAATTCCTAAAAATTTAGGTAATTTCACTATGTAAGCATTTTTAAAGATAAATATAACACATTTGTTATTCATTTTTAGGCTACAAGTAAATAAATACCGTCACTATATACTTTATATTACTTAGTTAGTATAACATGCAGGATTTTGATGTTGATTGGTCTAAATAGCTAATAAGGAAGAAAAAAGACGAGTCTTTACATGAAACCATTACTTTTTTTAAAATATATATAGTTTGAAATATGATTTAATGAAATAGTATCCACTACTTGCTCTGAAATGTAATTATTTTTGGTTACTTGTTTCAAAAGTTGAAAAACAATCAAGGTTTTTGCTGTATTTGCCTGTATGATATTAAGAAAATGATAATAGTATTTTTAATATAAACTGTGGGTTTTGTAAAATTGTGACCTTATAAAATTGTTTTTCCATCACATTTTTTTTGTATATGTCTCTTGTGTTTACAAGTAATTTTAAAGGTTAAATATTGTCATATACAAAAAAGAACATTATATTATTATACTAAAATCGTTTTTAGACTTACTTAGAGACAGATATATTTGAAAGTAGCCTCCTAGGTCATTGTATCGAGTTTCTGATTCATAGATTAATTTCTTTTTTTATAAATAAAAATTTCCCCAAAATTGCATTTTATTGTGAAGCTCTAAAAAGTTCATTCTTTGAAGCTTTAATGTGACCAGCCCACATTGGTTCAGGGATAAGTCTGAAGGCTTGTAAGGCTAAAAATTGTGTTTTGATACTCGTGGTGGTCACAGCAGAGATAGCCCATTGTATAGTTTGCGCTTAACAACAAACTAATGTGACCAACTTTACTAAAATCTCCCCTTTCTAATATCAACCTCTAAGCCTTATTTGATCAGATACATTTACATATGTATTTAAATATATGTACTTCATTGTTTCCAAAAGTTTTCGAACGAGACTTCTATCAACATAATGTGATTAACAATCATACAGGTTTTTCATGTAGCACCAAATTAAGAATAAAGCTGCCTACAAACCAAAAGAACTTTGGGCTAAAAATAAATGTGAGAACAAATATTTTAAAATGTCTTAAGACGGATAACCTACTCATAAATCGAACTAATTTTATAGACAAGAGCACGATCCTAAATAATTTATATGTGTGTGTGTTTTACATGCACACACCAAAGAAATCTGATATATTAGGAATTGTGAATATCAAGTAATTGTTATTGCACATGTAGATAAATCTTGAAAACTGTATTTTAAATATATCTGGATATATTCTTTAGAATATTTTTAATTAGAAGATCACACAAGTACTTTGGTGTTTTACTAAATATTTAAGAAACTTTTATACATTAATATATTTCTAATTTTTGTTGACCGTGCTTTTCATACTTGTAACAATAATGTACAATTCTTCAGTACCTTTAATATCTTTAATTGTAATGGTAATTTGTTGTTACCATGTTATTCGTGATTGTACATCGGTAGCTTTCTAATTTATTCAGTTTATTATTTTTTGTATTCTTCAGAAAGATATTCTTCTGTTAAAACTTCTGTGAATGAAACAGCTCTGAAGACCCTATCTCAAAAACTGTCCATTAAACCTGGCGGTAAGTGGAAACCAACACACTGCAACCCTCAACATCATGTGGCATTAATAGTTCCGTACAGAGACAGGAAGTTACAGCTGGACGTATTTCTGAAACACATTCATCCCTTTCTCCAGAAACAACTTTTGAATTATGGAATATATGTTGTTGAGCAGGTATACGATTAAACTGTCTACTTTAATGTTATTATCTGCAGGAGCCATGAGTATTTTGACAAAAGTAACAGAACTGTTATCTGTGTGTAATGAATTAGATATTTGTAATTCATTTGGTAGAGAATCAGTTTTAACCTCCATCACAACAGATGAATTTTCTGTTCTGATAATTCAGTCAGGAAACTTCATGATACATTTCTTTACTGGCACTGTTGTTTTTTAGCCGTGGCATAGTGGCTCATAGAACGGCTCTGAGTTTTATTTATTTTTCAGGTACAAACTTTTAGCTCATAGCTCCGTCATTTCTTGACCGATTTGAGACCTAATAACAGTTTTGGACTCGGGCAGTCAAGCCCTTTCGATTGATGTATTTGACCACACCCAAGGTCTCATAGATTAATTTATTTTAATCCTGCCCAAAAGAATTTCAATTTGAAGGTAGGATAGTAAAGATCCTGATGAGTAATAAAATCGAATCGGGTATATGCATGCCCCATGCTTGGTAGTGTTGGTGCACAGAAATATAGCTAATGAAAAGGAAAAAAGTTCTTGTAGATTAATTTACTCTAATCCTGCCTAAAAGAATTTCAAGTGCTGTGGCTAATGAGGATTCCATCTGTATTTACAGAGTAGAATATTAAAGAATAGAAGATTAGTTTAAAGTAGATGTTTGGGTTGTTCGCTACGAGTGATATTTCTTTCTTTACTTGGTTTACCGTTTGCTCATCGACTTGAAAGATCAAGATATATTCTTGAGTAGTGATGTTTTTCTCAGTGTGTGTGTGTGTTTGAAGTTTATCACTTATTTCTTTGATTCATCAACAACATAATTTTATTCTTCAGTTTATAACCACCATATAAGTTATTTATATGCCAAACTAAAACTATCTATGAATGATGTTTACTTTCATGTGTGCCTGTTTTGGAGCTTATGAATATGTATGTCTGTTAACTTAATGTTTCTAGCCTTCAACTTTTATTTTACTTTTGTGTACGATATTTTCCGTATTATACCTGTAGATGCACTATTTGTGTAATTAGATCAACATTTTAACTTGTCTGATTTTTTGTCTTGCGTATTGTATCATTTCTGTTGTTTAAAACTGCATTTTTAACCATGAATTGGTAATCATTTGTTAAATGTTCTTCTATAAAACACTGAATACTTAGTTTTTTTAATATTTACTGGAATATCTAAGTGAAAACTTCCAACTGTTGCAAGTTCATACAGCAAAGAAAATGTACCTGTACTTTTATTTATTTTAGAGCTCCATACACAAATTTAATAGAGCTAAACTCTTCAACATTGGATTTGTAGAAGCATTGAAGGACTCTAACTATTGCTGTTTTATCTTCCATGATGTGGATCTGCTTCCGGAAAGTCCACGCCACATCTACACATGCTCCAAACAACCCAGACATATGTGTTCAGCACTGGACACTTTCAGATATGTGTAAGTAAATTAAACTCATTTTCTTATGAAGATTCAGAAGTAAATTATTTAGTATTTACAATGTGTTTTTAATTCAACTAAGTAT